GAAAGAGTGGAGGAGTTTGCATTCCTGGCATCAGTAGGATCACTGCCATTTACTTCAGTGGGCACAGGATCTACCTCAAATTGAGGAATATTTGTGAGTGAGGAATGCTGTCCAAAATTCCCAACTTTTGTCCAAAACTTGGACAAAAGTAAACACTGTGAAAAGAGAACCAATGTTTGTCAGTAACTGGAAATCTTCCCTTTCTGCTCTGGTTTCTTGTTTATATTATTTTGATGGAAAAGAGAATAATCAAACCAAATTTTGTTAGCTCTTTAGCAAATTTAGTCTTGTAATAAAAACTTGCTCCATTCCAGAAATATGTTCTCCACATGGAGCATCTCCCTGTAAGACCAGGAACTACGCTTTGAGGTCTTTTATGCTCCTAGGCACTGCAGATACTGAAAGACGCTTTTTTTCTGCCATGAATTTGCATAAGGTATTTATCTTGTCCCTTTCTTTTTGTATGTCGAATTGTGCAAAGTAATCAGTATGGAAGACACATCACTAGGCCTCATTGTGTGCATTATTAATGTGTTAATTTTTAAATAAGATACAAAATTAACTGTGAGCAATTTTTATAAAGGAAAGCATGAGAGTGCCATATCTTACATCATTCCACATAAAAAATATATTTTAAATGGAGGACATTCAAGTAAATAGTCAGTCAAACCTTCTGGAAAAAATAGGTCTACGTTTTTGCAATATTTTCTTGCTATTAACCATGTGCTTCTCATTTTTATTCCTTGGATTAAAAATTGCCCTATAAATGGGTATTTTAGAATATGCTTAATTTCCTTTTATTAAATTGATAAATGCAGCAGCAGAGGACACATTTACAGTATGATGAGAATTTAAGGTTATTGCATTTTATAATTTTTATATTGTTCAGAGAAGTGATTTGTCATTTGTGGAATGACATCCATGCCATCATTTCCAAGTATTTTCAGTCATTCTTTTGATAGCAAAAAGGTCACTTTCTGTAGACCAGGAAGACATCAGTCTCTTAAACTAATTTGCCTACATGCAAATTTTGTCATTTTTACCTCATTAACTATTTATCATAGAGTAAAAAAATATATATATTCATGAAGGGGCAGCTAGCAGCCTGATGGAGCTGGAACTAATATTTTGCAACCATAATGATTTTTTGCATCCTTAATTAGATAGCATACAGTTGATATGATTAGGTCAGGATGTAGTGTTTTTCATTAAAATACATTTTAGAAGCTGTGTTCATAATCTGCCCTTGCAATTAAATAATGAGCCTATGAGTTTAATATTATCGACCCAATTATTATCCCATGGAAAAGTATATACCTTGAATAAATTTGTGCCGTAGGACCTTCATTAGCAACAAAATGAATGATATTTCCAGGTACACAGATTACGTGGCCACACTCACCCTTACGTGGAGGTTTGGAAGGTGATGTGGGGAAAGAGCCACCAAAGCCCTGTACGATACAGAAATGCACTTGATTATTTTGATTATTAATGAGAAAAGATGTAGAGAAGTAAAAATGTCACCAATAAAGGCAGACAGAAAAATTTGGAGCAGCAAACCTTTGCAAAAACTGAGCATTCTCTGTTAAGAGGAAGCCTGGACCCTCATTCCTTGACCTGTTAGAAATATGGAGACAGAGCTGAATATTTATTGAGCTCTGATTGGAGATAATCACAGATCAAATGTGTGTCAAATTCCCGAATCAGGAATACCAGGACCAGTGGCAGACAGGAATACATTAACTTGCCATTGATAACAGCGGGTCAGTGATGACATGAGAATGCTGTATTTTAGCCATCCCTTTTTCTTTTGGGTCTTGCTGTCCTCACCAAGTGATCAGTCTCCCAAATGTGACAGTTCAGAGCAGGGTATCAGGTGGGGTTTTCTTTTACCCAAAGAACTCTGCCCCCTGCCCCCTGCCTCCCAGAAAAAAGATGGGGGGGCTGGAGAAGAGGAAAGTGTTTACAGTAAAATTGTTTTGACCAGGGAAGGTTTTCTGAGGGTTTTCTGTTGTGATTTGATCAGTTGTTAGGTGTACAGTGCCTAGTGTTTCATTTTGCTCATATTTAAAGCCTCTGAACTACTTACCAGGTAAATTACTATCAGCAGGGGTAAAAAGGAAAAAAATCTGGCCCTCAGTGATTTTTACTGGTTTTAGCCCTCGAGGTATCACCACTGCTTGCAGTAGGGCTTTTTGCATAAGAATACTAATGATGAGAAAAGTTGTCCAAGCAGCAAGCTGAAACAACACCATTATTGTACCAATATAGGCCCAAAGAAAAGGTTTCCAAAAAAAAACCCCACAAA